AATACAGAAAATAAACACTATGATAAAAATAAGAAAAAATAAAAAGAGAATTAAAATGAGTGAGTGTGCCAGCACCTTTTCGACACCACCATCTTCACCAATTTTTAATTTTTTTTGGCATTGACAAATGCCCTGAAAATTTACAGATATGTAGTTTACATAATCAATAACTCGTTAAATTTTTTTCAAAAAATAATATTTTTTTTGAGGCCCCGAAATAAAGTGAAAACAAAAAATTAAAAGTGAAAAAAAAACAAAATAGTGAGTGGGCGAGCATGTTTTGACACCCCCATCTTTGACGATATTTAATGTTTTTTATGGCTTAGCAGAATGGCTTCAAAATTTATAGGTGTGTAGGTTACATCATAGAGAACTCACAAAAAAAAAATCAGTTATTTTTAGGCCCCGAATTTTTTTTTGGCGGGGGCCGAACCTGGAGGTGTTCGGCCCCCGAACGCCCGAACGTTCGGGGGCCAGCCCAGGGGCCCCCGAACGTTCGGTCAGGTAACCCTGGTACTATATATATTGAAGACGGATGGAAGACAGATCGAAGATAGGGATCAATGACTCCGACCAACAAATACAGGCCATCGAAGAGGAGACGGATCAAAGACCGATTGAAGTCAGATTTTGAAAGGACTATATAGATGGAAGACGGATGGAAGATGGATGGAAGACGGATGGAAGACAGATCGAAGACAGATGGAAGATAAATGGAAGACGGATGGATGACAGATCAAAGACCAGGATCAATGACTCCGAGAAACAATACACGGCGAAGACTGAGATGGATGGACGATATAGATTGAACGCAACAGATCATTGGGACGATCAAAGACAAAGATCGAAGACGGAGAATAGGGATATGGACAGCGAAGATTGACGACTCAGATCGGGGACTGATTGAAGACGGATTGTAAACACAGCTTGGCGACGTGATCAAAGAAGCCGGTCAACGACGATGCAGATCGATGCGAGAGATTGATGACGCAGATCGATGAGAGATATTGATGACGCAGATCAACAACACGGATCGATGACCCAGCTCGATGACGCGGATTGATGAAGCAGATCGATGACATAGATTGACGACTATGGTTGAAGACACAGACTGAAGATAGTGTGCAAACACAGATGAGCGATGCAGATCGACGACAAAGATGCAGATTGGAGACGGACCGACAACGATGACAGAGACCTGTGGCACACATGGACTGCACAGCAGTTCTTCTGCCGTAGGCACCCAGAGCAACCATTCTGAAGTCTAAGCCCAGCGGCAGGAGTCAAGAACATCAACAGCCTGCAGCTGTCCGCATTAAGAAGCAACCGAGCAATGATCCTGAGGGAACAAGTATGGAATGATTTGCAATCCCATCGTTGCAAAGTGTGCTCAATGCAAATGCGGACAAGGATTCATTGCTATTTTTTTTTATATTATTAACGATAATTAATCAAGATGAAGATCGTGTGTGGTATTCTACATAAGCCACAGCTCGTAGCATACGGCAAAACCAAGACAAGGATTGATTGTTTTCTTCTTTTTTTTTCGTTCTTTTTTTTACGAGTGAATGGAGGAGGGCTTTATGACTTGCGATAGAATGCAGAAAAGGAGGGCAAAATCTTCATTGCATGTCTGAAAGAGAAAAGTGGGAAGACAAATATTCATTACGTGTCTGACGGAGAATAGTTCATGACTAAATAGTAATTAGTAATAAGTAATTAGTAATTAGTATGGCTTATTCGTAATTCGTTGATAGAAAATTTTAATACTTACCACATCAAGCACCCTGCCCTCCGCATTTGTTAAAATGATACGGCTGTTGTTTGAGTCTGATATGAACAGTCTCCCTCCTTCTTGATCGGCACTGATGTGACCTGATGCATGGGTGCAACGATCACATAGAGAGAGAGAGAGGAGGAGAGAGCGAGAGAACGAGAGAGCGAGACAGCGAGACATCGAGAGAGGGAGAGAGAGGAGGAGGATAGAGAGCGAGAGCGAGAGAGGGAGAGAGAGAGAGAGTAGGAGGAGGAGAGAGAGCGAGAGAGAGGAGGAGGAGAGAGCGAGAGAGGGAGAGAGAGAGAGGAAATGGTCAAACCCTAAACCTGTAAACATGCTGTGAAGATTATGAACTCAGAGATGTTACTGCATGTCTTGTGGTGCATTTACTGGAATTTTATGTGTTAAAACTCTATTAATATATTAATATTTGCAAGTGTTGGTTTTMCTCCTTTCCTTATTTTTTCTTTTTGCTTTTTTTTGGACCATTTCTTGATTTATGCGTGCTATCCTTGCACAGGGGCCATACTTTTTTTGAAAAGA